AAGTAAATATGTAAAAAATGAACGCAATAAGATGAAAGTTTGATTATTCATATAATTATTATGTTAATACTTTAATATAATTAATAACTAATACTTTAAAAAAGTAAAAAAGTTTAAAATAAAAACAATAATTATTTTATTTTTTTGACTTTAATATTAATAACTTAATTACTATAAAATTAATATAATGTATCTAAAATATAATCTTAATTTTGACAAAAATAATATAGATAATAAAAAAATGAATATTATGTTATATGCATGCATATAATATATGTATATCTAAAAATCTGAAAAATTATAACTTAATAAAATTACAGGCATAAAATATGCAATAAATTAAGCCAATAACAAATATGTATTAAAGAACTATAATTAATGATAATACATATTATAATATTATTATATATATTAATAAAATATATTCATTAAAATATATTATGAATAAAATAAATTAATTTCAAAAATAATAACTTAATAATTATAAATAAAATAATAATAATAGTAAATAATAAAACTCATTATATTAATATATATATGATACGAAAATATATATATTTATATAATACATTCATTGAAATAATATTATAAATAAAAGGATTTAATTTCAATTTTTTTTTTATTTTATTTTTCTGGTTTTTCACGTTTTCTTAATTTTTAAATAATATTAAAAGAAATAAAACAATTATTTTAGTTTCTAAATTCAAGAATTATTAATAGTGAAATTGGTATAAGTAGTAAACCGAAATATTTCTATAAAAAAATTTAAGTTTTCTTAAAATTAAAAGTGGAAATAACTGTTTCAGTCAGTTTAGTATTATTTAAAAATTACAAAAAGGACCTAAGGCCGGCAAAAAAGAACTAAAATACATGTGAATAATTGAGGTCGATACCAATATTTAAAAAATATTAATCTACATACAAATTAAATAAGTTAATTATTATGAATTTATTATAAATAAAATAAATAATTTATTATAAATAAATAAAATGATTACAAAAGTAATGACTTAATATTATAACAATTACGAGATAAAATAAAATTTATTATAAATAAAATAATAATTTTTTATAAATAAATAAAATGATTACAAAAGTAATGACTTAAAGATATAATAAATATGAAATAAAATAAAATTTATTATAAATAAAAATAAAAATTTATTATTATAAAAAATAAAAAGATTACAAAAGTAATGACTTAATGATATAACAAATATGAGATATATAAAAAATAAAAACAAAAATAAATAATTGATATAAATAATAACGGTATTAGAAATAAGTAAATAAATAAAAATAAAAGTAAAGTTAGTCTTAAAAGCTTAGGTATTAAAAACAAAATTAGTTTTTAATTAGAAAATGTGTAAATGTGCATTGAAATATATGAACAAAATAAAACGCCCAATTCTTATGAAATATTAAAATTAATAAAAAATTGCACTGACTTGCCTACAAGAGCAGAATTTGTAGGAGGAGTTGCATTTGCTGTAATTGACTTTAAGGATAAGTAAGAAATATATCTAAAAAATTAACAAAAAGTAATTCTAGTAAAATTTATGATAAAGATTAGTATAAATATGTTGTTTTAAAATCTAAAAAAAGAAAAAATTATATTGTATAAGAGATTAAAAATTTATTTATTTAATTTGTTGAAAAATTGAGAGAATTTTTATAGATGTGCATTTTATGTGAAAACTGCAAGGAACATGTGTTTATGCTGTTGCATGCACCGGCAACAATTTTTATTGAATATATCTGTTGTTATCGAATCTAACTCTGAAATTAAATCATTTTAAACAACTCAACTGAGATATATACTTATTAATAAAATTAAAAAGAAAAAAAATAACAAACAACAAATACAACTTTAAACATTAAAGTAGATTTAAGTTATATACAAACACGATTAAAAATAGCAACTAAATGAACAATTTTATCTGTGTGCAAGTCTTATGTGTATTTTAAAAAAAAGGAATCTAAATTAAAAGAACTATAACACTAGTAAATATAACTGATATCTATCTTCTCGAAATCATAATACGTTTGTATGAACATAAGCCCATAAGCCTATAAAAAACGAATTATGGTACTAATACAAATTGGTTTTAATAAAGAAGAGAAACACTTATGAGTAAATGTAATGCTAAACTCTGTTATATTGGAACCAAAATTAGTAAATGAAATAAAATATTTAATATTTATTATACTAAATGTGCAAAAACTCTATAGGATTGCGATATTTCCAAAAAAGCGTCTATGAATAAAAATTATTTGATAAATAAATTCTGTCGTCTTTGAAAAAGAATTTTTTTAATGGTTTTATTATTGTAGGGATCCTGAAAGTATGCAACAAATTAAACAAAATTATTTTAATTGGTATAAAAACTTATAAAACTTTGTAAGATATTATACCAAATGCTTTTATCTGAAGTGTAGATAAATAAATCATACATGACCAAAGCAATACAAAAGTTTTGAATAAAATCTTTTGTGCTTAAAACTTTTTAAAGCCAAAACAAAATTTTTGGACAAAAACTGGCCAATTTTTTGTGCCGGTTTTTTAAAAACAGTTTTTAAAAAACATTTTTTCAACACAGATTGAACAGAAAAGGACATTCTATTATATTTGTTTTTTTTTGTTTTATTGGTTTCAGTTGTAGAAATCGTTTAAAATCAATCAAATGTTTCCTTAGTTTCTTTTATTCACATAGATAACTAAATTATATCGGTGTCCAAAGTTTTTAGACTTTTTGGATAAGATCCTTTCCAGTCTTTGTTCCCGTGGCTGTGCAAGCTGTAAACAGTGTTTATAGATAACTTTTCAATACGAATTTTGTAAAAGATCGACTATTTGTCTTTAAAGTGTTTTTTTTTTTTTAATTTGAACAAATTTTATGCTTATCTTGGACATTTAAGGTATGATGCTGTTGTCTCGAGACTTATCTCTGATCCAAAATTATCCGGCATTTTTCATTTATACTTTGAATATCTAAATAGATCATTTGTACTTGGGATATCTTCACCTTTAATAGCGCTACAAATTTCATGCTAATTTTTAATTTAGTTAAGCTATTAGTTTGTTTTGAGTGAGTTGTGTCAGTGAATTTGAGTCGTCGACGATTTTTTAAACTTCTATCAATGAAACACACAATGGAAGGTAAACATACATTCTGTTTTCCCCGAAATGACTGAAGTGGTGATCTGCGAGCGCATGCACTATTCGTGCGAAAAGGTCATAGTCAGTTGGCAGCAGGTATGGGCAGTACGTCTCACCCATCGTACTGTCACGATTCACCCGTGGTACTATCACGACTCACCCGTCGTACTGTCACGACTCACCCGTCTTACTGTCACGATTCACCCGTCCTACTGTCACGAATCACCCATCGTACTGTCACGATTCACCCGTCGTACTGTCACGACTCACCCGTCGTACTGTCACGACTCACCCATCGTACTGTCACGATTCACCCGTCGTACAGTCACGACTCACTCGTCGTACTGTCACGATTCATCCGTCGTACTGTCACGATTCATCCGTCGTACTGTCACGACTCACCCGTCGTACTGCCACGACTTACCCATCGTAGTGTCACGACTCACCCGTCGTACTGTCACGACTCACCCGTCGTACTGTCACGACTCACCCGTCGTACTGTCACGATTCATCCGTCGTACTGTCACGATTCACCCGTCGTACTGTCACGACTCACCCGTCGTACTGTCACGACTCATAGGTGATTTTGCTATGTGAGACGCCACATTGTCGTGTAATAGAATCATTATAATATGATCCATTCCGGTCATCTTTCGCTCAATGCGGGATTTAATTTAATTATTTGATAGTAATAGCGTTCTGCATTAACTAAAAGAGTTTATAATACACAATACCACTATAGTCCCACCAATCTTACCAAAGCGACCAGATGAAATAAACGATTTTTTCCGCTTCCAGATTTTAAAATCAATCCATTTATCAACACCCGTCACAATTCGATCCAAAAATAATTTTATTTAGTGGCTTCGAAGAGGCATTTCACAAGTAACTTTGCGATTTTCCATTTGATGTTTATTCAGACTGTGTGGAACTCATTTACCCATTTTATTAATTCTCCACATTGCTCGTAAACGTCTGCAGATTGTTGTTTATGACAGTAACAACTGCAATTGCTTGTCTTTGTACTTTTATGATTGCTAGAGTGCTCACTTTTTTTCACATAGAAATACTACTTTTAAGTTGTCGAAATCATGTCTCACATGTTCTAATCAATGGATGCATGAACACCTCTAATAAATTTTTCTGGATTAAATGCTTTCAAATGACCTGCATATAAATAACACCATAAAAAAAAATAACCTCATAACATCAGTTACACTATAATAAAAATTTTTCTTTCATTATATTCTTTGCTCACCAAAACTTTCCGTATCAAAAGTTTAACTAATCCTTACTTTCCGAAAGTGCTTTCTGGTCGGTATGGAACAAAACGCTATTTATGACAACAAGAAGCACTCTATTTTTATTGGGGTATTAAAACAAATTAAATTGACGAATATATTAGATAGCCTAATTGGCTTCTAATGAGTAACATAAAAACTTTTAACAACTTTGTTTTATTATACCTAAACTCGTAGTTTTTGTACTGAAAACAGTAATTTGCGGTGGACAAAAAAAACTTATTAACTTATAAACTTTTAACTTATTAAAAATTTAAAATCGTCATTGACAGGAGGAACACATGAATATTTTTAAAATTAATTAATTTGAATTTATCATTAAATTTTGTTACATATGTTTTTTTTTATTAAATTATATCACATCAAATAAATTAATAATTGCTGATTTACATAATAATCATGATCGTTTTGTTCAATATAATTAATATTAATGAATTTTATTTGTTATCTTAATTGTAAAATTGTCAAAACAAAACGAGAAACTTAATTCATTTAGCAAAGTTTAATTCAAATTTAATTACAATGTGAAGTTTTCAGTAATTCGTCATTTAAATACGAAAATCTAATACAAAAAGCACGCATGCACATCATTTTTACAATTAAATACATATAAAAAAATAATAATAATTATAATCATAATAACATTAGGAAAAAATTGGTATCAAAAAATGATGGTGGAAAAACGTTAAATATTCACTAACTTAAAAAACACAAAACCTATCTTTAACATTTTTATTATTATTAAACTAACTAACTAAGCGGTAAAAGTAAATTTCTTAACTTAAAGCTAAATTTGTCAAAGTTACTTTACAGATTCACTTCTAATGAAGATTAATCTTTTATTTTTATTATAAATAAGTCAGTCAATTGAAAAAAATTTACTAAATGCAATGCTGCAAATAATTGTCTGGCATCAGAGCATGTCTACTTTTATTGGATGAAAGGATGTGTCAGACTAACGTGAGCAAAGCTGTCAAGCTGCTAAATCCGCTCAATTCGACGCTACACTATCTACATTTTCTTGAGCGGAAGCCGCTGTGATGTTTGGTGTTATTGTTGTTGTAGTTGTAGTTGTTGAATCAGTAACAGGTGCGACTGCTGCTTCAGCCTGTGGTGGTATGACCGCAGCGGCTGCAACTGCAATGCCACTGCTGGCTGCAGCGGCAGCGGCACCAGCTGCAGTTGTTGTAGCACCCATGGAACTTAATGTATTGCTAGAAGCGGCTTTTTGATTTGGAAATAGCACGGAATATGCTGGCGGTGGATCGAGTTCCTCGTAATTTGGTGGTCCAGCGTTATTGGAGGGATGAACATGACTACCGGGCATGCCTGAGGTACCATTTTGTAATGCTGATTCGCGCTCATTATTAGCTGCATGTTGAGAGGCGGAAGCTGAAAGTGAACGTATGGTTTGAATGTGAAGGCTTAAGCGACAACAGCAAACTGTAGGGGGATAGCAGAGTTTACGGGAATAGTTGAAAATAAATAGTATCAAGAGTGGATGAGGAAGTACAGTGAAATAATATGTTCATTGATGGGAAATAGTTGTTAGTATAATAATATAGGGACAAACAAAAAAGTAAAAGAATATGTGAATGAAAGAAAAAAAAAAGAGAATAGAAAAGAAAAATAAAAATGATGATATGTCAGGGTAAGTTACAGAAAAACAAAATTAAATAAATATTAAAGGAATGAAAGAATCACTAAATTTACCCCAAAGTCCACATATTAAAAGTGCACCTCCGCACAGTAACATGCCAAGCATCAGATAACCCCATGGACCATATTTTGATAAATCTGAATTTAAACCTAAACGTGTGGAGTTTCGTCTGTGATGTCCCGTACCAACATTAGTAATAGCGTGTTCCGTGCTATTCTTTAGAGATTTTGTACCGTTAGAATTATCTGTAAGTTCACCATCACTATTGATAGTATTATTATCCGTTTTGCCAGGTACTTTACGCAAAGTTGTGCTATTTGCGCCTACAGCAGTTCTATTTCTCTTATCCGGCATTGTGGGTGCATCAAAAGCAAATAGATTACGAAATACTTCCAAAGCAAAATGTTCAAAAATGTCACTTTCCATAGCTGTGGAAATTGGATCATTCACACGACGATGTTTCCAACACATTGCATAATCTTCATCACTATCATATTCATTACTATTTGGACAATGACGTATGCCATCACAAACAAGATCTTTGGATATACATAAAATAGGTTCATCGCTAGAATATATAAAAATATTAAAAATTATTATTTATATTCACTAAAAATTTGAAAATCTATTTATACGCTTACCCTATTTTTAGACACTGATGTTTTTTCTCATTTCGGCACTGTTCACCTTTACCCAAAACGGTTACCATCAATTTAGAGTTGAGTGTTTGATGTTCGTGTTCCCAGACAATACGCACACGTCCGTGAAAAAGACGGACAGGATCTTCCATATCTGGAGCAGTGTCTTCAATTTGACATGGATCCAAACGCCATTGCGGTATGTGGGGATCAAAGGAACTAAACTGTAAGTAAGAGAATTAAGAATTTTACTTTTAGTTAGAAAATATTAAGGTTTAATATTCTTGCAAAGGAACTTCCTCAACTTTTATAAAACCATTCAAAACTAAATTTAGTAATAAAAATAATTGGGATGGTATATTAATACTCTAGTATAAGATACGCCAGAACATGTTAGTATGGTATACGAAGGATTCCTTCACTGAAGAAAGAATCTAGAAGAATCTAGAGCTAAAGTACCAGAAAGCTCTAGACAAAAGAACAAATAGCTTTATAGCATAGAAAAGTGTGTGTGTTTCAACCTTAAAAGTAATTATCATAACTATAAAAAAGCCAGCATAACTGATAGCCATAATGGGAAGTTGTATAAACACGCCAAAAGCGTCAAAGAAACTATTTTAAAAGTTAGAAGGGTTCGAATAGTAAAGAAAAGACAAGAACAAAAATTTTGTTAGTTTATTGAAATTTTGCTAATCATACAACGCTGTTTCGAGTATTTTCAAGTATGATCATCAGTATTACCACTGATGATGAGTACTTGGCAATACTCGAAACAGCGTTTTATTGTCAGCCAAATAAATAAACTATAAATAAACTGAATTTTAGTTTATTATAATTTAATTGTTATAATAACAATGCAAGCTAATGTCATTTTTATATAGCTATTACTCTACATTTCATTTTTGTACTCCTCGACAATGCTTTAAATATTTTCTCAAAATCTGAAAATCAATCTGAGATTTAAATAATTTATTGTGTCTGTAAATGTATATTTTAGTATAAATAAAAAAAATGATTGCTTATATAGATACGAGTATGAGAGACATGAGTGCACATTAAATTCACATAAATTTCCTGGCAAATGCAAAACGCTTTTAAAGCGAAGTGCGTGATTTGACAAACCGTCGAACGTGACATCAATAATTCAGATGCTGCAATATTAAATTTGGTATTCGAAATGCATATCGTATAGATAAATATTTTAACGTACGACTGCGAGAGATTTTATTAGATGAATTACATGTTTGCTTTACACAATATAATTATAAATATTTAAATAGATTAAAAATAGAAGCTTTTTACAGGGTAAGACAATTGCAATTGAATACTTTTAAATATAAATATTCTTTTCAAATAGCAATATGTTCCATACAAAAAATATCGGGAATTATAAATAATATTTATAATATTATATGATAACATATACTAGTAATCTGTTTAAAAGAAACCCATATAATCTTTAAAGTTGATATCACTGCGTTACCACGCAAGACTTAAGCGCGATCTATTACTCATTGTGTTTATATCACCTGTTTTTTAAAGAGGTTTTTGAAAAGTACAACAACTACAACAGCAAAATTATTTTTTATATTATTTTAATGAATTGAATATTTGTCTTGCCATATAGTTATTTTGAGTATTATCAATTACTCATCAGCTGTGGTCTTGGAATTGTTTCTTATATTTAATTATTCGTAAATAATTTTTTGAGACTTCAAGTAACAGGAATCGAACTCGTGCCCTGCCAAATTTGAAGCTCAAAGTCAGCACTCCTTAACCAACTGACCCAAAATCGTACTTGACTTTTATGTTCGCACATTTTTCTTGAGTTTTGTTAATTTGCTGAGAAAGTTTCTATTAACAAATCACCTGTTTTTGCAAATATACCTTTCAGCATTTTGCAATGTTCACGACTGAATAACTAGTTGATTAAAAGGATTTGCTTTTACTTTTGTTTTTTAAAGAAATCCTATAAGCCGAATGGTTGTTGAAGAAAACCAAAGATGAATTAAGCATGTTAAAAACATAGGATTTAAAATGGTAAAAATCGTTTAGAGATGACCGAGTTGTGATAGTTGAATTGCCTCACTCTGGTTGGTATGGAATGGTTAAGAACGATGACAACAACAATGAAATAAATGGTGAAATGAAATGAAATGGTGCTTGAAAAGCTTCATATGGGTTTTAAAGACTTGACTCAGGGGATAAAAATGTCATTTAAATACGTTCATATTCATATAATTGATATTCGAACATAAAACGGCTCCCCGAAAGATTGCTACTAAAAGAACTCAATTTTGTTTAAAAAAGATAGTGAGTAGAAATTTCAAATCTCCTAAGTGGTGGTGAACTACATTATAAAAAGTTTTAAACATAAAAATGAATTAATTGGTTTTTATTTTCAATACCTCTTTTTAATCCAAATTTATTCACCAAATAAGGTTTGCATTTTTTGTGACCTGGAGCATATACGTATCAATAGTTCCTTCATTTTTAATTCGCTGAAGATAACAGTCTTCTACCTATCAACCGTCAGTATCTTTAATATCCCAAAACATTTGTACCAATAAAATTTATACATTAGTTTTTACCGAGAGTAGGTCTGATAGAGCCCTAATCTTTTAACAAATAATTAGTATGTGTAAAATTAAAGATATCAACGTGAAAGATATGTGGTTTCAACTGGACTCGTTACAAGCTACATAAGCGACCTGTTTCAGTTTTGTACGCGGGAAATTTCAAAAATATGAGTAAAGATAATTCACATTTTGATTATGGAAATTAGACACCCTGAATATGCGATTCATCACTGCTAAAGTTTTTATTTGTAGGGTCATGTAAAATATCGTGTTTATGCTTCATGTTATCGTGTAATATCATGCAATCTTTAAGTTCTCCACACTTTAAAAACAAACATCGGTTGTATCATAGCTGCACACATACTACATGGATTGTTAAATACCAGGCATAAGTAATAAAAACGACTTTTTTTTGGAAAATTATATTTTATACTTCAATATAGTCCCCTTTTAGTTGAATCCACCGAGCCCAACGATCTTTCAACATTTGGTTACCTTAATGCGATTTATTAAATCCTTCAAAATATACTTCAGTTTTCCACTCCATTCCTTTATCATTTGATGCAAATCTCTTTCCTTGAAACCATCCATTCAAGTTTAGAATGCGTTGAATGAGGAAGCAATTCGTACAGTAATTCATTTAATTTTGCCATTGTTTTCATTGAAGTATGAGAGGGTGCATTATCCTACAAAAACAAAATGTTTTTCTTTAACAAGTTTTTTCTCTTCATCAAAATCACTCGTAAGATCACGTTTAAATTCAACTTTCCAGTATTTTATGGTTGTTAACGATGGCTCAAGGTTCCCGTAAACAGAATCAATTTTCAATTTGATTGCATCATTGTTCATTTCTTTTAAAAGGAAAAGTTTTATTACTGAACGATATTCAATATTTTCCATTTTATAAAAAATCATATATTTATAATTAATTTATAATTAATTTCGCTGAAACGAAGATGAAATTGAGATTTTTGTGAAATCAAGGTGTGTCTAAACAAAATATTAGAACCACAAAATAGATAACCATGTGATATTGGTTTCGTTAACGATCGGCTGGGATTTAGACATAGCTGCCAGTTGCAAAAATACCTTTAGAAAATTCTTAATCAAAATAAATTATATTATTATAAAATTTTTATAAATTTTATTATTGAATATCAATTATATTAAAATCCAATCTATATCAATTGACCGGCAAAGATTTGTATATATATCCATACTGAGAAGTAAAAAATTTATTCAGGTTTCGACAAAGCTTACTTGTTTAGTTTAATTTATTTTTATTAATTTCAAAGTCCCACTTAATTTAACTTATATGGAAATGCTTAACGATTAAAAACAAAGCTGCTTAAAATTATGAAGAAAAAATATTTTTGGCGCCGAAAAAACGTTTGTGTATGTCTCACCCGATATTTATATAAAACCTCAAGTCAACTTCAAATGAAATCAAAATGATTGGCGCTTGATTTGAAATGAAAATTAATAGTATTTAAGCTTCTTGAGCCACGCTTAAAGCTCAACAATAACAATAATAATTTTTTCACGTCCAAAGGTACACAAATAATTACAATTTCAAATGCGCGTTCGCAATGTTAAATATTTTATTTATTTTTTGTTAAACTATTTTATAACGTAGAATAATTTAATTTAAAAATACAGGAAAAATGCGAATTAACACATTTTATATATTAAAAATAAAACTATATTTTATCTAATAAATGTTTTCTTTTAAATAAATTCTCACAAAATTTAAAGTGAACTGATATGGAAAATTAATTATAATTTCTTTAAATTGTATACATAATGCAGTAGTTTATGTGGGAATTCCATTGTGTATATAATGGAAAAATTGTATATTAAATAATATATTTAAATTTTATATAAGTTCAGTAATATAGAATTATTTAAAATTTTTATTGTGTGCTAAATAATAAAAATAAAATGTACTTAAATGAAACTATTATAATCTGCAGAATTTGATCTTGAAGATGCCCTGCGGTGATACATAACCAGAAATATGACAGATATAACTATTTATTGAGAAAATAAAACTGAGACAAAGATAAAGTGGTTAAGAAGTCGTGGTTAATAATTCTTAAAAATTATTAAAATTATAATTATTAAATTATTAATATTATTAAATTATAATTCTTATTCAGAGTAATACTTAATTCAAAATACACCAAAAAGGTTTTTCTACACAGAGAAAAATCTTACTCGAAGATTAATCAAACCTCTTTATATACTAGACCAGGGCTGAAGCACAGCTCACGGGACTTATACGGCCCGCGGTTTATATTTGTGCGGCCCACGACACGTTTCTTATCTATCACAACTAAGCAAATTTTTTTTTTGTGATATTATCTGGTCTTGACAGCCCTGTTCCAGACAGTCAAAGAATTCATGATTAACCCTATTTATTTGGCATTATTTATCTTGCCGAACAATGCATGCAGAAAATATTAAAAACTTTACAGTCATAAGCATCCTTTTCCATACAAACATAATGATTTAATCACTCTAAAAGGTCTTCAGCACTATTTGAATATACTCTAATATTACACATATGTAATATCTATCAATTTTACTTAATCATTCATACCGACTTTTTTAAATTATATGTTATATGTTATAGACTATAGCTT